AAGTTTTCAGACCTGAATCAGGCCGCATGGGGTTTGGAACACTTTGGATATGAAGACCTGTAAAGTGATCCCTGCTCAGATGGAGTGGGGAGCCTTCCAAACCTGCCTTTAAACCAATGCCTCGGCCCAAAAAGATCAAGGCAATCCAGTCTGCATCATCATACATCGTACCTTCTCCAGCAAGGTACGGTTCAATCTCTCAGCCACCCCGTTCAGTTGCGGTGTCTCTCGAACTGTGAAGTGTCGCCTAATGCCGTGATCCCCGCAAAACTACAGAAACGGATCACTCTTATACTCTCCACCATTATCTGAACATAGATTCTTCACCTTTCTACCTGTCTGCAGTTCTACTTTCTTTTTCCACTCCACAAAAATATTCAGGACCTCATGTTTACGCTTCATAAGGTATACCTAATTCCTCCTAGAATAGTCATCAATGAAAGTGACAAAATAGTTGGCCCCACCAAGTGATGTGTTCTTGGAAGGACCCCAAATATCTGTGTGAATGTAATCCAATGTATCTTGGGTGTTGTGAATAGTGGTACCAAACTTCACTCTGGTCTTCTTCCCAAGTACACAATGCTTACACAGCTCCATCTTACAGGTCTTAGCTAGTACCTTTCAATAGCCCCTGTTTCGCCAATGACTGCAGGGACTTATCTCCTGTGTGTCCTAGTCTCATGTACCATAATATGGTAGTGTCCTCCTCTGTAGTGATAGAAGCTGCCAAACCCACTGTAACTGTCTTGCCCTTCAAGTAGTATAGGAAGTTTTTTCTGACTCCTCGCATCACCACCATAGAACCCTTCGTGACCTTCGCTGTAGCATCCTCTAAGGTCACCCGATAACCAGCTACCTCCAAAGTACCAAGAGAAATGATGTTCTTTGTCAACTGCGGTACGCACCTCACTTCTTTCAATTCCCTCACTACTCCGTCATGCATCCTAATCCGGACTGAACCAATACCACCAATAGGGCATACGTGGATATTTTCCATAAGCATGACATCCCCTCTTTCCAGCTCTTCAAAGCTAGAGAACCAATCCCTCCTAGGGCATATGTGATATGTAGCTCCTGAATCCAACATCCACTCCGTGGAGTCAGCATAGCAAACCGACGGTAGTGCAGGGCACGAATAGCCCGAAGAATCTGACTCTGAATGTTCATTAATATCTTTTGCAACATTTACTTCTGAAGCTTGTACAACTTTCCCCTTGTTCTTCCCGGCTTTGTCCTTCAACTTTGAGCAGTCGGTCTTCTAATGTCCCTCTTCTTTACAAAAGCAACATTGATTCCTACCAATACTCTTATGGCCACCTCTATTCTTTGATTTTGAGTGGTTAAACTGGCGGCGGTTTGGATCATGGCCTCGAACTGCTAATGCATCTCCCGATGCCTTCTCGGAGGGTTGACCATCACTCTTCCTCAACTCATAATTCACCAAAACTGAGGTCACCTCCTTATAACTAACATTAGTTCTTCCATTGATCATAGTGAGAATGAACGTACCGTAATCATTCTCGGGCAATGAACACAAAAGTAACATCGCTTTGTCTTCATCCTCAACCATGATATCCACATTGGCTATATCTGAAAGTAGCTTCGTAAAGTTGTTTACATGCTCCCTAATGGAAACTCCCCTCTTCATCTTGAACTGGTAAAACCTCTTCTTCAAGTGAAACCGATTCTTAATGCTCTTAGTAAGATACTTTTTATTGAGCATTTCCCACAACCTCTTCGCTGACGTCTCGTTCATAACATCATAAATAAGATCCGGCGTTAAGCATGACCGAATAACTTCACAAGCCCTACTATTCCTCTTCTTCCAAACCTTGTCCTCCATGTCTTCCGGTTTCTCTTGTAACTCAAGAGTCTCCTCCAAATTCTGTGCATCCAAGGCGTCCATCACCTGACACCTCCAGTCTCCTCCAAATTCTGTGCATCCAAGGCGTCCATCACCTGACACCTCCACAATCCGAAATTAATCTTACCGTCGAACTTCGGAACATCAAGTCCATCACCTGACACCTCCACAATCCGAAATTAATCTTACCGTCGAACTTCGGAACATCAATCTTCGTATTATTGATGCTCAGACTCTGTATCGCCTTCGTAAGAGATGAACCTGATACGCTTGCTTCTCCCATGTTGTCGATCTAACTCTTCAGATAGGAATCCTTCACCGAATCCTTCGAACAAGCCTCAAGCCAAACCTGAAGCTTTGATACCATTTGTTGTGCACAGCGGAAATTTCGGCAGCACCTCCGGTGCGTAAGATGCACAACAAGAGATTAGATCACAACGAAATTTCTGATTCACAAAGGAAACAAGAACCGAAAGCAAAATATCTCAACAAATTGAGATATCAGCTCTTCCTCTCATCAGTTCTAGGACTGGCTTGTCGAGGGAACCTACAAGCTATTACAAATCACAGCAAGAAAAACTATTTTACATGGTTCGGCAAATCGCCTACGTCCACGGGGCAAGGAGGGAGAGATCTACTATTAGAGGGAGAGAATACAACTAGGGTTTACAATCACACAACTAAAACCCTCAAACAAACTCTCAAATCCCTCTTAATCTCTCTCTACAAAAGAAACAAAAAAAAGAAGCCTCTGATTCGCCACCCAAAAGGAGAATTGCATAGCCGCCTTTTCTCTGTATCTGCGTTTTTCACCTGCATACAAATCAGCCACCCAAGCCTCTGTCTTTTTTCTCCTTGCACGAAGCCGTAACTCCTTGATTGAACCCTCTGACCTTGTTATCTAAACCTAGGAACACCTCACATTCCTATTTATATGAGGTGAAGTACTTTTGGGTGGGCCTGACCTGCTAACCTTCTCGTTCACGTGATAGAGAGAACGTGGTGGCCCCCATATATAGCCTCCCACGCGGAAAGAAAAAACGTGTCCGCTACTTCTGGACGTGGGTACATGGGTGTGGCCCACGCCCACTATCTCCTCACGTTCACATTATTATCCCATAAAGCTTCAAATTAAAATTGTGGCTACTTCTTCGAACTCCACCAACTGTACAAGCTTAATTTTTAACCTCATACAAACACATAACAATGAGTACAAGAGTTGATTATCCAACAGCAAACACATAGCAAGAGAAACATTCTAATAATCAAACAACTTTAATTAGTCAATATGAAGGCAAGAGAGTTTTTCTTTAATAAGTTCTTTTCCCTCTAAAAAAAATTGTTTCAATTATTTCAAGTTTGTCCCTGCTAAAGTTTTGATTTTGGTGGCTTGAACCACAGTGGGGGCTAGATAGAGTCAAAACAAAAACCATGAGGACTAGCTAATTAATTAGATTAAAGTAATAGTTTGAGGACTTAACACAAACTTAAGACAAATCACAAGGGCTTATCTAAATATGAGTTCCGTTTCCAATTCAAATATTCTTCTATGTATTCGTTTGAATTTTATGATATTTTGAATATTAAAATAAATTTATTTGATTGATAATTTATAGTTTATGCATATCAAACTATTTAATTAAGAAGATTGTTTTATTTTGTTTAAGAAATACTTTGATTTTTCTAAAATTTTAATTTCTAAATAGTGATTAAATTCATAGTTAAAAATTATTCCTCTTACAATTATGGTGGAACTATCTACAGTTTAAATATCCAGTTAAAATTTTGATTGCGACTGTTTAACTCTCTCAGAAAGTATAGAACTATAATGTTAAAACTATAAAGAACTATAATGTTAAAATTATAAGGAGAACAAAAACATAATGTTGTGTGTGTGATGATACAGGTTTAAGAGACCAAATTATAAACAAATATTTGACAAGTAAATAAATCGAAAGTACATCTAATTGCATTCTGTTTTCTTTATGAACCAAATACTGAGCATTATTCATTTCAGCCTATTATGGGGGGCTCGGTTCTTTGGTAACTTCAGTGTCATTTCCGTCTTCAGGAAGACATATGAGGCAATTAGTGTTGATCCCATTAGGGGAGGGGTTAAGACATTCATAAGGGAGTAACAAATATAATCGGAGTTCAAGAACAAAATGACAATTTAAGCAGAGCAGGGCAAGAAGCCAAAGAATAAGTCACAAGGATGTCTTTCACGAAGAGGTTTGAGTCCTTATTGGCTGATCTAGAGAGACAGGCGAAAACTTCCGTACCATGGGAAAACCACGGAAAACACGATTCTGGCATAAAGTTGATTGTAGAGAATGTCTACGAGTAGTTAGATGCGTTAATACTATTGGCTTATCTCACTAGGTTCTGCAATTAAATTTTTTTTATGTTATTTAGATAATCAATATCATTCATGGGGTCCACCGAGCGAGAATATTTGATTGGTATGTAGTAGACATTTTCTACCATCAAGTAATGTAGAGGGTCTCTACCCCCTAACACAATCCTCTATCAAGTGCCGTTTTAGATGGTAGACCTCCTCCTCCATATGCTGGATCTCCAACCCAATGTCACGTCCTTATTGGTCCAAATCGCCTCCTTCGCCAACCGTGCCACCATTTTGGCGTGACAATGACAGTCAACAACCTTAACATCGCAGGGTTGACAACAACAACCTGTGAACATAGGTAAATCTTGGATTAGCAAGGGAGGACGAGCACCCTACTTCCAAAAGGAAGGGAAAAGGTTCTTAGTTAACTACTCAGGTAACGCCAACTTAGCAGATATATCCTTAAGTTCTCTCTTCAAGGTCTTAACCTCCTAGCTACGGGAGGCCGCCGCTGCGGCCCGACCCTCAAAGTAACCTCACTAAATAACTCCCGCCGCCCAAACGTTAAAATTCCCTCTCTTTAGTTGAAAGAATACTTTGGACAACTCAAACGGGTGCTAAGGTAGGGGGCCCTAATTCGAAACAACTTATATGATTTGTGGACCTGAGAGCAATTTCAATTGTTCAGGCGCCCAATCTCGAAACGTAAACCATGTGAGGGACTGATCTCAAAATCGTGTGGGGCCAAGCCAATTCCGATTGCTTGGGTTGAGTGAGTTGACCCCAACTGGCTTGTGCCACCCTGTCCCTTCAGGTTCACATGGTTGGGTTTGGGATGGAATACTTTAGGTGAGAGCGAGCCATGAGATTCTTGGTTCGTCCTCCTCTTCAGCATCTGATTCACCACCGCCTACCTCCTCCCCTGAGCAGGAGAGTCATGAGTAGAAACGTTGACTCCAGAGGAAGTCGGGATCCGAGCTCCAATCCTAAAGTCGCCAAAATCCGGCAACTTCTCTCCCAAGACTCTTCAACAGCAGCAGGTTCCGTTTCTCCCTTTTCCTCTAAAAACTTGAATCTTTGACCTAATTGTTATTTCATCACAGGTATCCCCTAATTATTTTCAAAACCCTAGTAAGTGATTGGGCTTTTTTTACTCATTCCTTTCTGGAGTCATTGTTGTCGAAGGGTTTGTTGCTGTTGTTGATTCCTTCTTCTTTTTCTCTGTTACTTTTGTGGTGTGTTTGGGAGTTTACTTAGGAAAGGGAAGGAAGGGGAAGGAAGGGAAAAAATTCCCCTTCCTTCCCTTCCCCTCCATTACACCCCAATTTGGGGTGTAAGAATTTGAGTCAAATTTCCCCTCTATTCCCCTCCTCTACCCTCCTAAATGAAACTCCCAAACAAGGTGAAAATGAAATTTCCCTTCCCTTCCCCCTCTCTACCCTTCATCCAAACAGGCCATTGTTCTTTTTTGTTTTTGGAGTACTGATGTTATTACAGTTTATAGATAGGGCTGCTTGCTTTGGTGCTTTGAATTCCCAAAGTTTTTTTTTCCTGACGATTTGATACCCCAAAGTTGACACCTTTTTGAACTTTGATACCCCAGATTTTGTCGTATCATAAGAAAAAAAAGTGTAAACTTTGGTTTATCAATCTTCTCTCAAAGTTTTGAATTAGAAAGTTCTGGTCAAAAGAGGCAATGAAGGTGATTTTGCTAGAGCTTGAAGATGATGGAGTTTGTTAGCTCAGGAGCGTAAAAGCTTGAATGAGCATAATGATCTAAATGATTTGCTCTAAATAATCCTTAGATTCCATTTAACACAACTGTATCATTTATTACCGTTATCAAAGAAAGCTCAATCCAACAGGTGTATCAAAGGAAAAACATGAAGATTCTTTCAAGCCATTTAATTGGGATCTTGCCGAAAGGGTACGAGAAACTCTAGCATTAATCGCTAGAAAAGGTACATGGAACCAATGCTTGGGTTGGTCAAACCATATTTAGTCATGTAAGATGTAAGAAAACCCAAGAGAAATATTGTCCCCGTAGGATTTGAAAAGATCAGGTTTTCTTTTTTCATATTGCTGTGATCGCTGTAATCAAACATATGTCTATTCATTAAACCTAACCATTTTCGTTGTTAGTAGAAATGTAGGATTTTAGTTCAAAAATCTTTTTTCCTTATGAACTGACACTTCTCATCTTGCCTTATTATATTTTTCTGTGACTTTAATTTTCTTTTCGATTACCTTCATCTGCTAACAATGAGCAAGACACTGAAATAATGACGATTCTTTGGAAGAGTATTTTAACCTAGTTCTGTGAAGGATAAGCTACCCTTTAACTTGCATAATTCTATTACTTTGACCAAATCTTGCATTGAAATGTGTATATGTGGAAATTTTCTTAGAAATATGATTAGAATGGGCAAGCTTGACTCAATCTTTTATGCTATAAGTCAAGAAAAAGTAACTTAACAATGGATGTAATATATTGAATTCACAAGTATATAGTTGAAAACTAACTCAAACGCCAGGGTTATACATGAATGTATGTAGTAAAGAAGGCAAGGTGAATATGTCTCAAATAACATAAGATTGAATATACAAACCCTTGTTACGACATGTTTGCAAGTCGATTGTTCTTTGTGGGTATCATGTTTCTCTCCCTCTATAATAAGGCACATCCTCTAAATGTAATGCTTATGCATGCACGAATAATATTTAACCAAATAAAATTAAACACTTATTATAGCCTAGCCGTGCTTATACAATTCATGTTTGATATCCTCAGTGGAGACTTCCTATAGGCCACCCATCCTAGTACTACTTTAACCTAAGTGCTCTTACTACAGA